CACACACACACACACACACACACACACACACACACACACACACACACACACACAAAGCTTACTACTGGACATTATAGCATGAGAAGAAGAAACAGGTAAAGATGATGGATGGATGGATGGATGGATGGATGGATGGATGGATGGATGGATGGATGGATGGATGGATGGATGGATGCTGACTGTTTTGTGTGTGTAAATGCTGGAACACACGCGCTCACATAAACACAGGGCATTTCTATCGTGGTATAACAGAGAAACGGAACCTCTCGTGTTGTTGGCGGCGGGTCCAGCTCCGTCTTCACCCGCAGATAATCGGTGGCTGACGGTCGGGTTAATATCCAGCTCTCGGTGCTTCCTTATCAAAGCCCCGGTTGAGAGCAGCCGAGTCGTTGTGGCGGGTTCCTGCCTCCAGAAGCACCATTCGGTACAGGAAACGAATATCTCGTTTATYAATAAACCGACAGATGATTTCTGTCCGCCCAAGAGCGCGAGCTGATCCTGAAGGTCTCCTGAGCGTGGTGAACGGGAGGCGTTGAAATATTCATGAGGGGCGTGGCCAATACGCTGATTGTGTATGTGTGTGTTTTTCCCTACAATGGGGATCCATAGCACAGCTGAGTGAGTTTGGACCACGTGACCGTGAGATGATCTACAGTAGAAGCTGCAGCGCTAAGCAGAAGAGTCTGGATTTTCCATTACTGTAGCTACAAGCACTTTGCTGCTGAAAAGTGCTAAATGTTACCTTACCTTTCATGTTGGCAACATTGGAAAAAAATATGGGGTGCCAAGTGTAAATTGAGGGCTGCGGCCAAATGCAATAATATAATTCAYGAAATACAAATACATCTTAAGTACAGTCCTTTTATTTGAATGATTATGTCCTGCTGCAGTGTGACATGATTTGTTTGTGTACAAACTAATACAGTAAGAGTTTTATATATTTATACTTCTCATTCAACCACAATTAAATTCACTCTAGGAGGCCCAATTTATATGGATAGTATTTATTTTTTACAATAACAAGCTGAAATGAAAACAAGCACAAATGAAATAAAAATAACAACTTTCTACTTCTTGTCTTTTTTTAAAAATGTAAGAAGTAGAAAGTACAGATAAACGTGTGAAAATGTAAGAAAAGTCGGCTGAAAAATAATTACTCAAGTAAAGTGCAAGTACCCAAAAATTCTACTTAAATACAGTAAAKAAGTCTTTGTACTTAGTTACTTTACAACTCTGCTAAAAAGAAAGTTATCGATCGGAGGAAGCCGACTCCTTGGTTTAATTCAAAGTTTTCTTTAAAACAGGCATCTAGAGAGAGAAAATGGAGCTTCCCTAACATAGAAGAATCTTATTTAACTTGGAGAGACAGCCTGAGCCTGCTAATGTATAAGAAAGCCCTTCGTAAAGCTAGAACTGTATATTATTTATCTTTAATAGAAGAGAATAAAACAATCCCAGGTTTCTGTTCAGTACTGTAGCTATACTAATGAAAAGTCCTATCTCTGTTGAGCCGTGCATCCCTATAACTCTGATGACCATTAGATTCTTTATAGATAAAATAATTTTAATAAGGAATAAAATTCATGACAAACTTCCTGCTACTGTCTCTGATTCTCTGTCAGATCAGGCAGCTTTAGTGTCACTTGTCCTGTTGAGCTCTCTGAATTATCTAAAATAATAGCTTCATCCAAACCATCAACATATCTGCTAGATCCCATCCCAACCAGACTGTTCAAAGAAGCATTCCCTTAATTAATATCTATATTTTAAATGTACTTAATTTATCTTTAATGAATGATTATGTGCCACAGAGCTTTAAGGTTGCTGTAGTTAAACCTTTACTTAAGGAACCTGATATTGATTCAGGAGTTCTGGCCAACTATAGACCTATATCTAATCTCTCATTCATCTCAAAAATTCTTGAGAAAATAGTTGCAAATAAACTAAATGAACATCTGGATAGAAATAATCCATATGAGGAGTTTCAGTCAGGGTTTAGACCTCATCATAGCACAGAAACAACACTGGTGAAAGTTACTAATGGTATTCTCATGGCATCAGAGAGTGGACTTGTGTCCATTCTTGTCCTGTTAGATCTCAGTTCTGCATTTGATACAATTGATCACAATATTTTATTACATAGACTTGAACTTGATATTGGGATTAAAGGAACAGCTCTACATTTCAGTTTGTTAATTAATTATTAATCTTCTTCACTAGAGTTAGTCATGGAGTTCCTCAGGGTTCAGTGCTTGGAACAATCCTCTTTACTTTGTATATGCTTCCATTAGGTAAAGTTATTAAACATCATGGGATAAATTTCCATTGTTATACTGATGATAGTTATATTTATCAATGAAACCTGATGAATCCAACCAGTTACTTAAACTACAAGCATGTCTTAACGACATAAAAACATGGATGACTCTTAATTTTCTGCTTCTAAACTCAGATAAGACAGAGGTTATGTTTTTTGGACCTGAACATCTTAGGGATCAACTTTGCAGCCTTTCACCTTCTCTGGATGGCATTAATCTGGCCTCCAGTTCTAATGTAAAGAAACTTGGTGTTATTTTTGATCAGGACATGTCTTTTAACCCCCACATTAAAAATGTTACCAGGACCGCCTTCTTCCACCTGCGTAATATCACTAAATTTAGAAACATTTTGTCCAAAAATGACAGAAAAACTGATTCATGGATTATCACGTCTAGACTGGATTACTGTAATTCTTTATTATCTGGACATCCAAAAAACTCTTTAAGAAGTCTTCAGTTAATCCAAAATGCTACTGTAAGAGTTTTAATGAGAGTTGGAAGGAGAGATCATATTTTGCCAGTTTTAGCTTCTCTCCACTGGCTCCCTGTCAAATTYAGAATAGAATTTAAAATATTACTTCTAACATACAAAGCTCTTAACAACCAAGCTCCATCATATATTAAACATCTTCTTGTTCCATACTTTCCTAACAGAGCACTTCGCTCTCAGACAGCAGGTCTACCTGTGGTTCCTCGAGTTTCTAAAAGTAGAATGGGAGGCAGAGCTTTCAGTTATCAAGCTCCTCTCTTGTGGAACCAACTTCCAATTTCTGTGAGGCTGACACTCGAGACTGTGATGAAGTGATTCAACGCAGCCTGCTGGCTTCTTCTTTAGATTGTTCTTTTTTAAGTACAGTGCCCTAAGACAACGCATGTTGTGACTTGGCGCTATATAAATAAACTGAATTGAACTGAATAGATTTGGGGTTTGTGTTGTTTTAATTCACTTTTTGTGCTGACTGTGAGTGATTTAATTTTTTGTCTCTACTTGTGAATAAATCTGTAGCTCTTTGCTGCTGTCTGTGTAAGGTTCCTGTTGAGTTAGGTTGTAACGTCCTTCAGCCAGCACAGTACGGTTTCTGCCCAGCAGACATGGATTTGTTGTCAGATGAGACACAGATTAAAATTTCCATCCACACCAATAACGTGCCTCAGGATGATTTTCTTTTAATAACACATTTTTTAATTTTAATATTCAAACAAAACACCTGAATTACTGAATGACTCGAGGAATTAAAAGTTATGTCACTGAAAAAAAGCAAAATGTGGAGGAAAAAAATAGCAACTGTTATTTAGAAATAAAATAATCTTATCCTGCTATGGTTGGTGTCCAAACATTATTTAAACCTCCATGATGTGGACATATAAACAAAATGACAACATGAGTAAAAGATGAATAAATACCAAATACTGAAATAGTTCTTGTTAATGCCATCAAGTTTATTATTTTAAAAAAGCTCATTCCACTGATAAAATGATTTTAAATCACATCCTTCTAATAAAGTTGTACAACATCTTGCAGAAATCTGCTTCTATCTGTCTTCCTTACAGCTGAGCGTTGCTGAGGACTCAGGACCTGTCTCTGCAGGAAACAAGATGTAAACAAATATTATATTTTAATTAAAGTCAGGAAGGTGTTTGCTGTGTTGTGGAAACAATGCTAATAAGCACTCAAATGAAATATCTCCAATGAAAACAACAAAATTCAAGCTGTGTGCCAGTTATTTTATAATCCTGATTATTTCTGACAACATATTCTGAATGCAGTAATCTCAGTGAGTTGATCAAACATCCGGACCAGTGGTGCTCAAAGCACAGAAACAGCAAAAATGCAGATGTTTCTCTGCTTCGACACACCTGATCTCAATGAACAGGGGATTAATAGGCTTCTACAGAACCTGCAGACCTGCTGAAAAGCAGGAAAACAGCTGAAACCCATCGGATAGTGGTCCTCCAGGACCAGGACCAGGACACCACTGGTCTTGAAAGAATGCTGAAAATCTGAGCGTTGATGTTTAAAAAAAGGAACTGATCGTTAGATTTTTCCAGCTGCCACAAAGGAAATGTTGATGACATTAAAACTGACAAGCTAAAGCATCACAGAAATGTTACCGAGTCCATGAACTGAGCAGGATGCCTTGAAGAATGAAGTTTCTGGGTGTGTTTTCATTTAATAAACCACATTAAGATGGAGTGGAGACAGTTTGTCTGTGGAGAGTTCTTTTGGTCTGAAAAAAGTTACCGTGTTGGATTTTCTTTAGCGAAACCGAAGCCCTGTGATCTGTCTCACAATAAAATTAGCTGCTCAGTAACTGTATGTCTAAAGTGGAACAAAGCACTGTAGGCTCCTGGAGCAGAGATGAAGAAAAGGTCCAGTCAGAGCAAAGTTCTGGAGCTGCAGAACTAAAAGCAACGAGGAGGTAAGAGAGGTTCAGGACTGAGCAGCAGGTGGAAGAGACTGCAGGGAGGAGGTGAGGGGGGAGCTGAGGAATGAGTCGTGGAGCTTCTTGGCATGCTCCACCAGAGCGTAGGAGTCCCTGATGTCTGTCAGGCCGTACCAGAACACGGTCCACACTCCATTCGCAAAGCTGCCATCACAGTGCTTAAAGTACCTGCACAGACACAGACATGAGCAAAAACATTTAACTGAATCAACTGAATCTGGTTTAAATGTGAAAAACATGTTAGAATAAACTTTGGTTTTACTGAAGTTTCTTGCATTCCTGGGGCCAACAGTGACAACAATAGCTGCTTTATAAATAAAGCTTGATTTGACAAGGTATAGGTGAACCAAGATAAAATTCCTAAATAAAAAAAACTAAACAAAAAACAGCTTTGTGTCTTACCATGGATTAATTCGGTTGGTTGCTTTAGACCTCCAGAACAGTTTGCCCAGGTCTTGTTGAATACACTCCCACAGGATGTAGTTGGTCCCCTGGCCCTGTTTACTGCTGCTCACCACAAACTTGTCCAGATAAGGTGTGCCACCGTTCACTGGCTCCATGGTGATGATGGCTGCTGCACTGTAGCTGCAGGAGCACAAACACACAACATGGTAAATGGCTTGAACTTATATAGCGTCTTATCAAGTCCACTTGGACCCCAAGGCGCTTTACACTTCAGACATTCACCCATGCACACACACATTCACACATTGATGGTGGTAAGCTACACTGTAGCCACAGCTGCCCTGGAGCACACTGATGCCACCAAGACACTACGACTGAAACAGCTGGATGGGGGGGGGGGGGGGGGGACAACCTTCCGGTTCCAGGGTAACTCCACTAACCACTCAACCACATCCTGCATTTCACATCCCAAAAGATTTCCTTGGACGTTGAACCCAATTCAGACTTTACATGGAAACGTGTTTTATTTACTGAACAGCTGCACACACCCTTCAGAGAGGTAGATGGAGTGCAGTCGTCCCTTCAGAGAGCTGATGTAGTCTTGCCTCAGAGTTTTTTCAAACGACTTGTTGATGAGAGCCAGCAGACGCTCCACGTTGATCTCATCCAGAGAGCTGTACCTGTACACACACACACACACACACACACGAAGAGTCTCTAAAACAATGTGTGTGTGCACGGCAAAGCTGCAAACTTTATTATTTTAACTACAGGTGCTAATGCATAAACACTGGTGCAGATTATTGTGTATGCTCAGGTTTGAACTTTTTGTTTTTCCAGTTTATAGTTTCTTTTACATGATTTTTGCAACAAATTAAAGCAAACTTTGTACCGTTTTAACTGTTCATAAATTAAAGCATTTAGTTCCATCAGGCATAATGTCTTATGACTTTTGGTTTTTGTAACTTTTATTCTTTTGAAAAAATTTTTTGTCAAACAGAAGTTTCCATAGAATTACAATAAGATCATTTGTTCTCTTTAAAATGTTACAGTTTAGCTAGTATTAGCTACAGTTTAGTTATTTTGGAAAACTTATGTTTTGCCTACTGAAGCGCTACTGTAGCTTCTGTTTTAGACTTTTTATGCTCATTGCAGTTTCCCTTTTGCTCATTTTAATTTTGTTCGGCTTACCTTAACAAGTTTAACTCATTCAATTCTGATGACATTTTTGCTGAAAATGCTACCTTTTTTATTTCGGCTGCTATTTTTCCATTTCGGTCACTATTGTCTTTACTTCTGCACCTTTTGAAAGTCCGATGCAACATTTACAGTACATCAAAATATGTCAGTGTGCTCTGACTTTTGTTAGGAGTATTTTCTTTTAAAATGTAGTAAAAAAAAATTCCACATATACAAAAATGAGATTCTGGTGAAACAAGACGAGGAAAAGCATGCTCACTGTGAAGATCTGAAGACATTCTTTAAAGGGATACCCAATTAGTTGTAACATTAGACTTTATATGATGAACATATACTTTAACTGTAAAATAAAGACTGTAAAAATACTGTAGACTGTTCAGTTTTTATAATTTTTAAACTAAAAGTTTAAAAATATATTACACGGACGGGGCCATTTTATTTACTGTACATGCAAAGCATTCTGGGTAAATGATGACCTCAACTAGGTCATTGGTGCGAAGCTGCTAGCGAGCTATATCCACCCTGAAGG